TATAAAAGTATTTACCCATTAGGGTGGAGTCCCATGGAGCGGAATACGCGGAAGCGGAATCAGCGGATCGCCAATCACAAGACCGTTTCGACAGAATTTTTGAAAGGGCTCTATCAGAATAATCTTGCGATTGGCGATCCGCTGATTCCGCTTCCGCGTATTCCGCTCCATGGGACTCCACCCTTATTCGTCAACACTGCGAATTTTTCAATGTCACACCGACTTTGCACTAACACACGTACAAAAATCCTGTGATTGGTCAGAATAAAAACATGTCGGATGCGCAGTACGGATCGGCGCGAACGTGAAACAAAAGAGCGAGTGCCACTACTGGTTATACTGTGGCACAACTGCGCGAGATCGTGTAACCTCTGACAACGAGCTAATTTCTCGATCGGACTGTACCTTTCCGTCCCCACTCTCGACCACCCTATAAGCCAGACAATGACAAACGCCACTCGACGATGCTCTCTCTCGGTACACACGGCTCGGCTCTAGCGCGCGTTCCAGTTAGTATATATTTCAGTGGGTTATGGACGGTTCACATTGCATTGTTAGAAAACTCGTATTAGGGCCGTGGCACACAAACGGTCTTAAGCCCGTATCAGACTACGGATTGGGATTGGGATTAGATTGAAATTTAACCAATCACAGTAAAGTTTACTAATCTCAAGTTCAGTAACTTTTACACTGATTGGTCAAATTTCAATCTAATCCCAATCTCAATCCGTAGTCTGATACGGGCTTTAAGCAACAAAGGCCCGGTTTCACCAACGCGAGTTAATCTAATCGGTCGGTTAACTTGACAGGGTGCCAACATAAAACTTCTTTATTAACCAAGAAAATAGGTTAATAAAGAAGTTTTATGTTGGCACCCTGTTAAGTTAACCGACCGATTAGATTAACTCGCGTTGGTGAAACCGGGCCAAAGCGAAAGCAGTAAACGAATTGACCAATCAGGGTGATTGGTTCCGCGTTACGCTATACCGCTCCATGGGATGGCATCCTTACCGATTCGCTAAAAGCCATGCGAACAGCCAATCGACTTGCAAGTTATCTGTAAGAGCAGAATTTTCGAATTCGTTTCTCTTTCGAGTGAATTCATGAATCGAGCCCCAAGAGGGAAAATGCTATCCTGCTAGTGTTCGTACCAAGATTGAAAAATTGCACTTGCGCCGAACCCCTCCTTTATCAACAACTGGTTAGTCATTGGAGAAGGGGTGGGACAAGATTCCCGGACATAATTCATTAAATAAAAACGTAATTGATGTCCATTTTTTTCACATTGACAAATAATTTACTTTCATCTTTTTTACGCTTTATAATTGCACAAGCAACATGTTGGTCACTCTATTGAATAATTTAGTAAGAAAAAAAACGCGCGTTTTAGCAATTGTTCAAACACGTTTTACACAATTTTATAACATCTATTAATGACTTGATTGTTAAATAAGTTTTCCTCCGAATTAAGATGTAAAAATAATTAATAAGTAATGATCTATCAGGCCCGTGTTTTTACAAAATCACAATAGTACATATGAGAAGGCCAATAAACGAGCTAATAAAGGTCAAAAGATAAAAAGGACTAATCCATTACATTTAATATGATTCACCGTTAATTATACAAATCATTAAATAAGATTCGATGATTTGATGATAGTTGACCATTTCGCTGAAGAAGACTAAGTTAAGTCGTCTCTCTGTCGAAACGTTCGAATTACCTAATGTACCTAATTAATTGTATAACTATCACCAAATCATCGAATCTTATTTAATGATTTGCATAATTAACGGTCAATCATAAAAATAATTAAAATCGCGGACAGGATTAAATTTTGGACTGGGTATATATATACACACACACACAAACCAATTAGTAATACGATTCCAATATACATGTATGTACGCATACGCACTGTATACAATATATTTATATATGGGCATTAAAATATACAACTAGTTGCATACTGCATGATAATATGTATATATCTGTACATATACATGTAAACACACACACACACACACACACACACACACACACACACACACACACACACACACACACACACGAACACACGCGCGCGCACACATATATATATATATATATATACATACACACATACACATATTTGATGTGTCAAATAAAAAATGTACAGATATTCCCCCCCTCTTCATACGTACACGTTCTTTATCCTTTCCTCTCCATTCGCAGCTCTTATACATTTTCATTCTTAACAATTAACAAATAACAAAGGTATGGATTACGCGAAACTTTCAACTTACACGAAAGAAAATTTCCGACGCAACGTTATTTGTATACATGTATGTATCTCTATGTATATGTATATTATATATGTATATGTATATACAGGATGTTGTGTAATACCCGCCTCACCTCTTATTTACGGATAGAGCAGATTGGACTGAGTTTAAAAGTCCCGTACCATTTTGCAATTTTCGCAATGGTTAACGAGTTATTAATTATTAAAAATCGCTGCCTTAGCCCGGTCCACTCATGTATAATTGAAGCGCGCGGCGAGATACGGCGATCCCGCGATCGGCGTTGCTAGGCGCGCAGGGAGTTGCTTACGACACACGGCAATGGTTATGTATAATAAACAACTCCCCGCGCGCCGATCGCGGGACGGCCGCATCACGTTGCGCGCTTGAATCGGGCGGTAGACTTGGCTAAGACAATGAGATTTAATAATTAATAACTCGTTAACTATTGCGAAAATTGCAAAATGGTAGAGGACTTTTCGACGTAGTCCAGTCCGCTCTATTCGCAAATAAGAGGTGAGGCGGGTATTACATAACACCCTGTATACATATATAAAATCTAATATTATGCATTTCCTCAATACAGCTTTTTTTTTACAGTCAAACTTCTGCAATATAGAACAGTACAAAACGATAGGTTCCCTTTTTGCAACAGTATCACTTTCATCGCTACAGCGTCTTGCGATGTTGCAGCGATGGAAGGAAACGTGTCCGCATCCGACTGTCTGTGATATTACAATATGTAAATACGTGTATGTTTATATATACATACAGAATGTTGAGTAAATCGTGGTACAATCGTCGAAGGACGATTCCTCGTGAGGAGTCACGTGAAATGTGCGGAATAAATTTTCGTTTATTTATTTCCTAGTTTTCGAGAAGCGATTCGTACAACGAAATAGACGGACATTACTTTCACACGTTTGAAATCGATTTTCTCAAAAACTATGATAATAAGAGGTCTATTATACAATTTTTATATATTTTTTTCTCGGAAATCACTTGACCACGATTCATTGGAGAACACTCAATTCAGTTAGTCATTATTGCCAGAATGAAGTCTTACATACATATGTATATATACTCACATAAGTATACATAAATTATATATATATATACTTGTAAATACAGAGGCGACTACCCCAATATTTAATCTATTATAACTCTTGTGTTCGGAAAGGCATATCAACTTGAGCAGATTCGTAATTTGTGTTTGTCTGGAAGATTGACGTTATGCAATTCTGTACCCACACAGCACAGGAAGATTGCAGAAATGTTACATTGCAAGATTGCAATATTGCAGCAACGTTGCGCAACGTTGAAATGTCCGCCCTCAGAGAGATTGCAGTGTAACATTATAGCAATGTTGCAGCGCAATATTTTTGGAATAATTTGTCGTTGTACATAAGCAGAGAATTTACATATACATCCGGGCCTTTTTCAAGGCATAGCAAGCTTTTGCGAGGCAACCTAAGGAAGTTATGTCGCTTCGCAATAGATGGAGATTGCGAGCAACACCGCACTGATCAAGTACTTAATAATTCGCGCATTATTGGTATCAACGGAAATAGCATTATAAAATTCTCGTAATTAGAAGAATTTTTTAAATAGAAAATATAGTATTTTCATTATTTTTGAAACATTGCTGCAATATGCTATCGAAAGTTTGCAATTTTATATCCCTGCAATGTCTCCGCAAGATTGCAACGTTTCTGCAATGTAACTGCAACCATCTGTGCTGTATGGGTATATAACACTCAATCTTGTTCCTATGCACAATCGCGCTAAACTCAAAGCTGAAGGTAATAATGCAACTCATGTCGTGCAACAATCGACATCTTTCTTTTTTTTTGTACAAACCTGTTCTAAAAATAAGTGCGATGTTTTTCGCTCGAGGCGCATTGTGTGAGTGTAAACTATTTTCAAAAACATGCATCATGTACAACACACGCAAGTAGCTTTCTCGTGCCTTCGTTTGTAGTATCTGTAGACTAGGTGAACGGATTAATATGGGGCAGCCTTTTGTGAGTATATATCCATTTTGTATTAATAAACTCTCTTTGCATACCATGCCGCTGCCGTAGACTTTGGATTTTCAGAATTACATGGTGGGCGGGTCAGTGGGCACGATCGTCTGTATAAAACATTTAGAACACTGTAACACCCAGATGTTTTGCAAAATGTACCGTTGGTTAATATTTGATTAGTAAGCCGTGTCCATTCAGGAATACCTATACTGCTTGTTTATATTATATTCGTTTGCAATATGGCTCGTTAAATAATATCGAAATTATCTCTTCCAAAATGACAAGACATCCCCAAGTCTTTTAAATCTATTTCTCCATAGTATTATAATTTTGATCGGTATTCTACTAGTTACAAATCATTCGCTCTCAATTATATATAAGGTATCCAAAATATTTACAACTTTGCTAGCAGGCCTTTTACGCATCCCGCTGTTTCTCTTGATAAAAACAAATCTCCCAACGCGGTGGAGACTTTTTTTTTAAGCTAATTCCTTTGCTGCATACTGCAGTCATATTTAACGTTCTCAACTAATCTGGACTGTAACTGGCACCGGGAACAGAGCTGTGCTGAGACTCAATCACTCTCTGGACCGCCTTCCTTTTCACCCTCGCCGTCCCCTTCCTCTCGTGTCATGCCTTCGATTGGCGCCGGAGCGCCATCCTCTGCGTTCGTAACATTACTCGTCGGCAGTTCACCAGAGTCAGGTGGCACTGACGGTGGGCCATTCTGCGCAGCGCCCTGCGGGAATCCTGTTTCAGCCGATACTAAATGCGACGGCATGTGCGGTGAGGCCGTTTGCGACTTTCTGCTCTTCTCACCTTTCCTCCATAATGTAATCTCCTGAATAGAATACGAAAAGCAGTGATAAAATGAAGATGCGAGGAAGCGTGAGTGTGGAAATATTTTCATCTTGAAAAAGAAGTATAACAATTTTAGAGAACCAATAAATTAAGAAAGCCAATGCGGTCCAGGCAGGATGTAGGTCGCCCAACGGTGCGTGTAAATTTTTACTAAATTTTAGAATCTTAAAAAAAATATATATCTATTCCGTTAACTCACCTGCTGCTTAAAGTATCGCCGATCTTCCTCGTCCATGAGAACCAGATTCAGATAATATCTAACACTAAACTTCTTATTAATATCGCGCATCGTAGGCGCCAGATCGTACCCAGCTAAGAACACCCTTATAGGAATAGACTCCCCTCGAACGGGCGCGCCGTCCATGATCTCGTATTTCGCTATAGTTTCATTTTCAGTAAACGTGTGAGGGCCTGCAAATATGTATTCTAATTATTGCCTTAGTACCACGAATATCGCGTAGGAAGCTCTCAGAAAACCAAAACTCGCGTTCCAATTTTGCCAACGTGCAATGCTGCATGCGTATATAAAACTGTAGAAATTATAGTTAATTACTATCGCTACGCTACGCTACGGAAATGCACAAGTTATCTATAACGTACCAGAACCGGTGGTTTCTCGTTTGATGATTGCTATCTCCATATGTTTTATTTTTATTCTAACCAGCAGAAAGTATATTTTGCCGACAATTACATCTTTCAAGTGATATCTGAAAAGATGGGCAGTTAGTCGGCACCGTACGTTTGAACAGTTGCTTATTGAAGCGGTCAATGACCTAGTTTACACCGTTAAATCAGTTGGCGTGAATTGAACATTCGATACGTCCCTGCTTACACCGATTAATTTTAAAACAGGTCCGGTTGGAGTTTTAGTAAAACTCCAGATAAAGTTCTACTGCTGCAAACTGAGTGCTACAGGATGCATCCAATCTGAATTTAACAATGATATACGAACCAAGGGTTTATCCAGACAAACTTGCATAGGTGCACAAGCATATGCATAAAGAAATTGATTGGTTTATTTCCTTATGCCTGCACTTGTGGCCCAATCAAATTTCTTATGCACATGTTTACGCGCTATGCAAGTTTGTCTGGATAGATTCAAACGTTTATAATGCGCTAGAATTTTTTGATACGCGTATCAACTTAGTTCGATATTGAAGTAATCCGTGTGCGTTTATACCGTGCGAATAAAAGACTTAATAAGTGTATTAAATGCTTGGTATAAACTAGGCCAAAGTGTATCGCGCAACGTGACTTACTTGCTTTTATTGTATTCAAATTCGATATGCAAACAGTCTTCGATTCCAACTTCCATTTTAATGGGATTATTCATATCTGGATAGGAACTAAGAGTGTGCACAACTAATTCGAGTTCTTTGATAACGTCACTAATTCGTCGTACAATTGTCACTTTCAGAAAGTATCTCAGTCGCACGTTGGATCCAGTGTAACTTTCAAATGGTTTCTCGACATTTGGGAATTCAAACGTGTACACCGTATTGTGTGTCAATTCCCCTGGCCTCGCCAGTTCTTTTACGAGGCTAGTAAACTCATGGTGATTACCTCTGTCGTAGTACAGCTCAATTTGTCCGATAAATTCTACTTTCACCCCATGATGCTCTAATTTTCCAGCCTTCCGCAAACTGATATTAATCTGCAAGCATTTGACCGAATGACAAATTTTGTACCGCAAAAAAAAGTCAATTAACGTAACACAGACTTCAAAGGCAAATCGCATCCATAAACCCGTAGTCAACAAATCAACGATAAATTAATCAGCAAACAAAAATACACTGCGACTATATCTCATCATGTAAAATAATAAATTGTGCTTCAACCTTTACAAAACAAATACAAGAACATTTTCTGACGACTGACAATTTCCTAGATATACCACGTTACAAGCAAGAGGTTTGTGCATGGCGGAGTATTTGTTCAAATCGAACGGGCAGGCTTGCACGCATCACATGCGAGCGCGTTAAATTTCAGGCCTATGAAATTGGCCTCTTCTCGTATCAGCCGGACGATAAGGTCGACGTTCCAGGGGGGTTCCTACCTTGCCGGAGACGGTCTCGCCGTCGTAGTAGAGCAGGTGCCGCTCTTTCTTGCCGTCCTCGGACTTGATGTCTGCGGTCTTCCGTGTCTCAGCGCCGTCCAGCGTGATCTCTATGTCGGCGGACTGGCCGAAACCGAAGAAGCTCTGCGTGCAAAAAAAAATCGAAAGCGTTAGAAAAGCCGCGTGTCATACGGGACGACGCGGTAGGAGGTAGACGCCAATGACTCCCGGTGCCGACGAGGAGTACTCGGGTTACGGTGGGCCGAGACCCGCAACCCCATGGGAGGCGAACGCACCATTTTTTAAGGGAAAGGGACAGCCTTCGTGGGAACGGTGAGATAGCTCGGCGTCACGCCGCAGTCACGATGACAGAATCGGCCGTATCGCGGATCAATGGACAATTCTCCAGGGCAACATTTTCTTGTGCGCACGAGAGATGGGAAAAGTTGGGTTATTTTTTCACTCGTTCCTCCTGAAAGTTACAAGTAGCCAATATGGCCGCGCGCACGCGCCCCTTTCCCCCTCTTCCCCACTTCGCCGACTCAGCTATGCGCGCTGTTGGCGCTGTCGGCGCTGTCAAAACTCCGCCGGTGGTGCGCGCGGCGCGAGTTTATCGACGCAGCGTTTCTATTGGTGTTTTCCACTTAGGCCCGGGCTCACAGTGATTCGCTCATACTTGACGCCGACTGAATGTATTTTTAAATAATTTCTATATGCAATCGTTTGTATTTCGTATGTAGACGTTTCTAGTGCAATTAGAAAGGTTTGTGAGTCATTCGTTTGTTTGTAATTAATTAATTAGTTTTCCACCGTATACTTAGCGCAATAGATAAATTAGATAAAATTTTTATATGAAATCGTTGGTATTTCGTATGAAGACGTTTGTAGTGCAATTAAAAAGGTTTGTGAGTGATCCAGATAATTTTAATTAAATATTTATTAAATGGAAGTTAGCCGGATTCAAAATTTAATTGATTTCCTATCTATGATACTGAATGATTTAACACATAAGAATTGCTTGTCTCGTTCCGGGACCTCAACAACATAGCCACATATGGCAGGAACAATACAAAGTTAGTTTTATTTGGAAAAATGGTAATTATGGAGAATAGGAACTTTTCCGAATTTTGATATTTTCTTGCGGTTTTCTTGATAAAAACCTTTGTTGTGACTCTGACAGTGATAATCAATCGGGGGAGCCCGAAAATATGCACCCCGAGTGACCTTCAGAAGGTTAACCCGGGTTAACTGTTCTGTAAAGCAGATAATTTTCCATCATTTGTAAGTCCATACGCACACAAGAATATTGTGCTTTACAG